CTAACATAGTACACCTAAATAGTTCAGCTAAATGGTTTACCCTTTCACATCACTCAAGCTGATGCACAGGATTTGTAAGCTTGACTGTGTATAGATCAATACTGGAAGGGCATTATCCCCCATTCCCAAAATTAACTTAAAGTACATTGTTAGTATAGAGCAGTTATTTGCCCACTTGCATGAACCACTTAAACACTTTACTAAAATTTGGGAAATTTGCATAACATATTACTTTAACTCTCTGTTTAATCAGTAGGGATGTGCATGGGGAAAATATTTGGTTCGGCATTCTGAAATTTGGGACTTCGCGACTTCGGAACTTAGGTACTTCGGCACTTCAGCACTTCGGAACTTCAGCACTTCGACACTTCAGCACTTCGGAACTTCGACATTTTGGAATTTTGGCATTTCAGGACTTCTCTTGTAGCCGCTTAGTAGATAATTACCTAACTCCCATGGTATCTACTATCTACCAAAAGGCTGAAAGACCTAAATTGTTTTTTCAGCCACATTTTCTAATACTAAGTAAAAATTACTTAGTATTAGTCAATTCTGCCCCTACTCGCTATACCGCGAGTAGGGACATGTGTATTAAACAGTGAGCAGCAGGTGGGGGCCCTAAAGAAGAATAAAGGGGGGGACTGTTAAAAAAAACAAAAAAAATGTGTGTCCCCTTCCGAGCCCCCATAAGTTCCACGCGAGTGAGGGCTTTTAAACTGCTTCCCCCCTGGCCCCCACCCTTGAGCAGCAGGTGGGGGCCCTAAAGAAGAATAAAGGGGGGCCTATTGTCCTCCCCCTCGACCCCCACCCCTGAGCGACAGGTGGGGGCCCTAAAGTAAAATAATGCGGGGGGACCTATTGTCCTCCCCCTCGGCCCCCACCCATGAGTGGGATGTAGGGGATGTGTTATGTGATATTGTAGAGGATGTAATATGTGTGTGTTCTTATTGAATGTAGTGCATAGGGATACCAATTTGTGTAAGGGGATGTTGTGTAGTGTGTGTATAGGGGATGCAGTGTATGTTTGTGTGTAAGGAATGCATTGTATGTTTCTGGGTGTGTGTGTTTAAGGGATGCAAGTTTGTTTCTGTGTATGTAATTTAATGCAGTGTATATCTGTAAGGGGTGCACTGAGTGTGTGTAAGAGATTAATTTTGTTTCTGTGTGTGTAAGAGAAGTGATGTGTGTGTGTGCGTTTAAGGAATGCGTTGTATGTTTCGGTGTGTCTCTATGTGAGTAGGGATGCATTGTATGTTTCTGTGTGTGTGTGTAGGGGTGGATTGTGTGTTTCTGTGTATGTGTAAAGATGCATTGCGTATGTGTGTAGTGTAAAAGAGAGGGTTTGTGGGGTAGGATAGGGACTGAGAGGGAAGCAGCTTTTTATTTTTTTAAACATTTTTATAGTGCTCTCCCCTCCTGTCAATTAGTGATCTCCCCTTCCCTCCTGTCCCTCAGTGTTCTCCCCTCCTGTCCCATAGTGCTCTCCCTTGGCCCCCTGACCCTCTCCAGTTCCCCTTGGTGGTCCTCTCACTCCCCCCAAAGTGGTACTCTCACTCCCTCCTCTTCCCCCTTAGTGGTCCTCCCTCTCACCCTCTTTTAGTGGTTTTCCTCCCCCAACCCCTCAGTGGTCCTCCCTCTCCCCCCTCTTGTGGTCCTCCCCAGTCCCCTCTCCACCCCTTAGTGGCCCTCTCCCCCCCCTTAGTGGTCCTCCCTTTCCCCCACCCTCTTAGTGGTCCTCCCTCTTCCCCCCTCTCCCCAACGCCTTAGTGGTCCTCTCAGTTGTCCCCTTGGTCCCCTTGGTGGTCCTTCCCCTGCTTAATGGTCCTTCCCCTCCTACCCCCCTCCCCCTTGGTGGTCCTCCCTCCTTGTTTAGCCTCCTAGCTATGTACGTTGGCCGGGCGGTGCGGACTGCTGTACAGGAACTTCTGTTTCCTGTACACAGCAGCTCCTGGACTGAAGGGAAGTGCTCATTCAGTGAGCACTTCCTGTCAGTCCACCGGCGGCCGAGTACAGGAAGCTGAAGTTCCTATACCGTGGTCCACGCCACCCGCCTACGCTTCATTGAGTAAAGAGCATGAGGGAGCGCAGTGCGCTTTCCTTCTGCTGGTCACTGAAATCTGGCGCCCCCCCAGGCTGGTGCGCCCTAGGCGTCTGCCTAAGTCACCTATAGGATGCGCCGGCCCTGTCAGAGGCCATAATGTATGTATCTTTATCCCTAATTCTAGATATAACTCTTTTATTTTTTTCCTGTTATAACTTATTAGTCATAAGTGCTTCTGGCTTATTGCCTTTTTGGTACCATTTAGATTGAAAAAATTCTAAAGTTTTTGCTATTTTATTGGATAATTGCAAATTTATGTTCTGTTCTATTTCTGATATTTTCTTTGCTATTTCTGTAGAAGGTGTTATTTTACTCTGTTTCTTATATTCATTTAGCACTATGTATAGCTCTGAAAGTTGGGGGGGGGGCCTTCTTTCTTTTTCATTCTGGCTGCCATCCCCATCAGGTGGCCCCTAATAATGTTTTTGTAAGCGCACCATACTACAATATCTGATGTCCCCTTATTTTTGTAAAATAAAGAGAAAAAATTGGAAGCAAAGGGATGCACTCAATTAGGGGTTAACCCTTTGAAGACTACAATAGTAGTAAAAGCACAAAAGAGGAGACAGTGAGTGCACCTAAATAAAATATAGCTTTTAATAGTATAGTTAAAATTAGTGTATGCTATAAATTAAACAAAAATATATTATTAACAGTGAACCCTAAGGGTTAAAGTCCTGAAGGGAAAACCAACTCACGCTAGATGTATCTTTATAATCAAAAAAATCAAAAAGAAGTCCTGTTCAGAAGTTTTCAGGATCCTTCTCCTAGCACTATGCAAAAATCAACAGTTTTTTGCAGCGAAATAGAGTATACTAGGTGAGTGGTATCTCAAAGATACAAAATAACTATATATAACAATAATAAAAGGTAGCACAGGGATGCCTGTATCGAATATAAATGTAACAAAATCTTGCCAAATATATATAATATTCACTGTTACTGTGCATCCAAACAAACTCAAAAGAAATAATTATATATAAATAGTGCTAGCTAAAGATCTGTATCCAGCACTATAATATATTGCTACCATTCACAGTGCTTTAAAAAAAAAGTAATATATCTGCACTGGAAAAGAAAGACTCCTAATACAGCAAAAAACAAGGTAGGGGGAAAAGAAAAGAAATAAAGCCAAAATAAATTAATTAATAAAGTGTCCGGTCCACGTTAAAGACCCTCCAATGTTGAGATCGGAGTGGGGCTCCGGGATCCCTCAGGCAGTGCCAAAAATAAATAAATGATATTATACGGCCAGGTCTTGGCATAAACTAATATTATTCTCATCTAAGGATCCCTAAGGAGCCCCCTAACCCCTGACGTGCGCGTTTCGCCCGCAGCTCATCAGAGGGGAACTTTGAGCTGTGGGCGAAACGCGCGCGTCAGGGGTTAGGGGGCTCCTTAGGGCCATATATATATGATCTAAGTATATATATATATATATATATATATATACACACATATACATACACACACATACACTGTCTAGGTGTATTTTACTATTAATATACATATATAATTATATATATATATATATATATATATATTTATATCAAATTATACGTAGACTGATATTGATTAAATATATATAATATAAAAAAAATATGTAAATACTTTAAAAAATAAAAATAACAAATAATACAAAATAAATAATTTAAAAATATATAGATGTGTGTTATTTTGTTCTAACTGTATTGTGATATTAATATATATATATTTATATAAAAATACATGTAGAACGAAATAATATTATATATCTATATACATTAATATATACGTATATATCAATATATATATATACCTATATATAAATAAAAATATTTTTTTTTAAATTATATATATATATATATTAATTCTACATATATATTTATGTAATATTTTTACATAATTAGGTATTTTAATTAATTACAATTAGCGGGACCTGCCTGATAACCCATGCCGAAAGTATAGGGAATTTAATTTGCTAGCACTATATTTAACCCCATAACTTTCCAAGACACCATAAAACCTGTACAAAACAGTAAAATGTATTACAACGATGATATCGCCAGTAAAAGTGAATTATTTTGCATTTTTCACGCACAAACAGCACTAACACGGACAATATTATTGCTGTGATACTTTTTACTGTTTTGAAACACAAATATTTGTGTTCAGCGAAGTCTCCCGAGTACAACAGTATCCCTCATGTACAGATTTTATGGTGTTTTCAAAAGTTACAGCATCAAATATAAGGTTTGTGTTTCATTTTTTTCACATTAAAATTCGCCAGATTGGTTACGGTGCCTTTGAGACCCTATGGTAGCCCAAGAATGAAAATTACCCCTATGATGGCATACCATTTGCAATAGTAGACAACCCAAGGTATTGCAAACGGGGTATGTCCACTCTTTTTTAGTAGCCACTTAGTCACAAACACTGGCCAAAATTGGTGTTTTTTGCATTTTTCACACGAAAACAAATATTAATGCTAACTTTGGCCAGTGTTTGTGACCAAATGGCTACTAAATAAGACAGGACATACCCCATTTGCAATACCTTGGGTTGTCCACTATTGCAAATGGTATTTGGTCTTGCTCCCTAGGGGCACAACTGCATTCAGACAGGACCTTTCACTCGAAGTACCTTTGGAGTACAGTGGTGTAGTCCAACTTCAATAAACACATACTCAGAGGTGTCCCAGAGACCAAAGCATTAGTCTAATCTACTTACCACTCATGACAAGCTACTTGTCCTGACCAACAAAACAATTTCAGGTAAAAAGGTTAAGGGCTATAGTCTTTGGTGGTCCATCATGGTTAAAAATTGTTGGTGCTTCAAGTGGGTCAATTCTCTGCTTGGTTGTCCATGGGGAGAAGAGGGGGTAAACACTGGCTACTGGTTAACTCTGCTTGGTTGACCACTTGATTGTCTGCTCTTTTATTGGGTAAACACTTCAATTGTTCCCTCATGGTCTAGTGAGTCAGAGCACAGGTACTGGAGGCTGTATTCTTACTCAATAGTGAGAGCTGGATGGAGAGGAAGAAATTACTGAGGTCTTTACTCAACAGTGGTGCAATAAGCTACCAGTCCTGGCCCTGTCCTCACGGTAGCAGTCCTACAGCAGGGCTAATGTTGAAAGAAAACGAACTGCCAGATGCCTGGAACTGCATGACCCATGCATCGGATGATACGAATTCCACATCCCTGATTGAATGTGTGTGACAGTTAGACATGCATCTTTGTATCCTATGTTTATCAGCTGTACCGTTCCTATAAAAAAAAATCTGGCTGGTATTTCTAGGTTTCCTATATCAATATTTATATCTTTCTAGGTTTATTTTTCAGGCTTTGTCTTACATGTAACCCAGTTTCTACTTTATTGACAGTGGTAAAAAAAAAAACTAAAAACCTGAAATAAATTTAATGGAGGGTTGGACCATCAGTTCAAATTTGTTTTGTTTTTTTGCTGCATTGGTATAATGCCAGTAAATACAATAGAAAATAAAGAATACAATAAAAATAACATCTCAAGTGGTTTAATTTCAGAATATTTCAACATCCCAACATAACTTGTAACTTGTTTATTGTTTTCTAATAGGAGTTACTCATGTTCTAAAACATATAATTAATACAATGGTATTTCTCCCCCTCACCCCCCCAAAAAAAGGAAAAGTTTAAGAAGATTGCTCAAGTTTTGTGGGGTAAAATAACATGTGCGTTTCTCTTTATCTCCTGCTTGGAGCTACAACACCTTAGCATGAAGGATATAGGAGGAATCTTTTTGCCAAAACTCACCCATCGCATTGTTAGTAGGAACGACGTATTTTATAACCTTCCTACAGAGCTTTCACTAGCGGGTTCTCCCCAGTGTTATATAAGTTAAATATTGAGGGTCTCTCACTGCAACAGTAATAAGAATGCCATCCACCCCGCCAATTACCAGAAACTGCCTAGAAACTACACAACATTTTTTCAGTAAATGAGAGGTTTGTCTTTGTTTCTTCAACAGTAATTTTCTTTTTTTACTTGTTTATTTTATTCTCCTTCTATGAATAAAGTACTACAGACATAAAAAAAGTAAATACATGACAAAAGCATGTAGAAACCAATTCCAAACAATAGTTACATTAACGAGTGGATAGGGGGCCAGAGTAGATCTATCCATATTATCAAGTCTCCATAAACAATGTATGTCAAGAAAGGGGGAAATGTGAAACACTATGCTGACAGTTATGCTGTGGGATGATTTAAAGTCAAATTGGCAGCTGCAAGAACAAAGGAATGGAGCTAATATACAGATCAACTCACTCTAAACTAAACTACGTTCCAGCTTAGTGTCAATGTCAAAAATACATATAAGTAATTTACATAAGACAGTCAAAACAAATAGTCCTTATAATCTTATTGCAGGAGCATCTGAATCTAAAGGGACAAACAGGCTTATTTTTTGGGGAATCCCATTTTTTAACTAGCATTATCTAGAATCTGATGAGAAATGAAAGTACTTGTATTAGCAATGTCTGTCAAAGGATTTCATTTCATTGTAATATCAGTGTCCATGGTGTACATCGGTGCTCCTCAACCCTCTCTTCAAGGCACACCTAACAGTCCAGGATTTATGGATTACCCAGGTGTGTCTAAGGTGTTTGAAAAAAAACAAACCTTGGACTCAAGGTGAAGATATATTTTAACGGGATTTAAAAATAATAAGCAAATGCAGCATTAGCGTCATCATTATTTTAACTTATTTTTGCTCTGTTTTATCTGTTATTTTACCTGCTATTTTTCAGGTTTTCAATTTGTGTATAGATGAATGTAAACTATTGAACAAATGTTAAGAATTTTCCCTGAATCTCTTTCAGGAAATTCAGATAGTATAATATATTAAAAAAAGAAAGAGTAATTATGTTGTAGCGTTCTGAAACTGCTTTATTTAACAACTAATAATTAAAAGAACATATTCAATTCTAGATAAGATGGTGGTTATTTGTTCCATTCATATATAATACAGAATGCACACTATAACAACCACAACGGTCAAGTACAAAAAACTTTAATTGGTGAAGAAAATCACAATGCTTAACAAAAGATAGTAATAATAGACAAAGTAACAGAAATAGAGGCAAACAGTAATTCAAAAATACTATACCGATAGGCTTTTGCACAAGCCGAATTGCTATTAACTTGCAGACTGTTTACTGCCAAGTCAAAAAAATAAAGAATAAAAAAAAAAAAAAAATACTATGCCAAAATCTTTCAAATTTCAAGGCAGAAACACAAGTCACCAACTCCCCCAATGTTTCAGCACCAACATGCATGCCCATAGCATGGAAACAGATGCTTTATCCGGTTCTAACTGTATGTATTTTATGTTACTATAACCCCACAACATCTAATTAAAAATAAAATGTATAAAAGATTTGCTGAGTTGAACATTTGTACAACTGCTTTTTTTTTTTTCCACGGTGTGACTGTAACAGACAATAGAAAAGCTATGTATAGAACACAACTATGCTACACTTGGAATGTAACGAACTAGCCCAGTGCAAGTTTGTTTGTCTCCGAAACATAGCAACAAATTGTTTATTAAATGTGTGAACAGCTGCAGGATCCTCTTTGTTAGCAAGCTGTCTAGTGTGAAGGCTTAGATTTAATAGGCATTTTAATATCAAGCATAGTTCTTGTATCATTTGTTTTAGTCACACTTAACCCTAGTCTTTTCTTCCCTTGGGCATTTTGTCTGTTATGTACTTTTGATGACATGCCAACAAAATATTAATTTGTCAAAATCTATAAAATAATATTAGAAACAAATATGACAATCTGTGTGAATAAAGTGTTGCTTTGTGTACAAAGCATACTCCAGTGAAACCTCCAGTTATTTAAATGTGCTTATGGATTTAGAAAAGTGCCCAAGTAACAGTTTTCTTTGTTTTTTATTGTATGTACTGGGGCTGATGTGTACTTTAGTCATTGCTGCCCAGGAGTATTGCAAGTTTGAGCGCAGGGCTTAATTTTGCATGCTTGTATTCACTTTTGCATTCACCCACCCCATGCATTCCCTATTAAAGGTTAATATGTATGCAGGGGTTTTAAAAAATAAATAAATTACCTTTTAGCTGAATGAAGCAAAATGAATTGCTTTAGGACTCACCTAAGAGGTTTTTCCTTGACGTGGCAGGTGAGCTTACACTTGAATGGCCATTGGAGTGATACTAAAAAACACCTCCAGTTATTATAAATGTGCACAGGGATTTGGGAGAGTGCGCAAGTAACTTTTTTTCTATAATTAGGATATATTAACGTGGAATTAAAATGGAAGATAATAGTGCCATAACTCCTTCAGTCTCTAATTATCTAACTTGTAAAAAAAACAAACATTTGATATCTTTGTTTACTTTGATTTTAATCCATTCAAAATACCTGCTACAAATAAAAAGTACACAGTGTGTTTTTTTTTTTTCAATCATTAGCTATGGATTTGAAAGTAATGGATTACGTGGTGAAGACTGGATGTGCTGACAGCATAGCTGATTTTGACATTCCTTGCTGATTTATGTTCGCATGTGAGGAGAGTCTCTCTCTGTGGCGTAGAGCTGTATTTTGATTTATACAAAGTCACACACTGCAATGGCTGGTAGACAGAAAACATTTCTAACACCATGAAACTTTGCTGCAACTGTTACTATACAGACAAAGAGAGAGAACTGGATGTGTTCCATAATAATCAGATAATCTTATTTAGAAGTTTTAAACCAAGTACATAGTAAATTCACTCACAAAAACGTCCAATGTAAAATACCATATTTACTTGAATGTGCCAAACCTAATGCACATTCAAAATGTTGATACCTGCAGGGCTGGCGCAACCGTTAGGCGAACTAGGCATTTCCTTAGGGCGCTGGCTTGCTGGGGGCACCCTCCGTGATATTTCCTGGTGGGCTTCCCCTGTCTGGGGCCGCAGCGCTGGGCCAGCACCTCTGAAGCCACCCCCAGTGCCGGGCCGATCCTCAAGGCTCCCTAAGGGTGCTCCTCAGGGTGCTCCCGATGCTGTGCTATGGTAGGGCAGAGCAGGCACCTGCTTACCTTGATGGCAGGTGCCTGCTCTGCCACTAAATGCTGGTGACCGGAGGAGAGGGGAATGGAGCAGGCAGGCGGCGAGGGAGGCTGTTCTTGCAGCCTTTCTCTCCTCCCTCGCGCACCCTCTGTGATGCCGGGATCTGGAATATGATGTCATTTCGGCCCCAGGATACTAAACAGCATGCTGGAGGAGTGAGGAGCTGCCCCACACTGGACCCCAGGGAGGTGAGTGTTTGACTGTCAGTGAGTGAGTGAGTGTGTGTGTCTGTCAGTGAGTGAGTGTATGTACAGTGCCTTGCAAAAGTATTCACCCCCCTTGACTTTTTACCTATTTTGTTACATTACAGCCTTAAGTTCAATGTTTTATTAATCTAAATTTGATGTACTGGATCAGCACACAATAGTCTAAGTTGGTGAAGTGAAATGAGAAAAATATATACAGAAAACTATTTTTTAGAAATAGAAAACAGAAAATCGGCATGTGCGTATGTATTCACCCCCTTTGTTATGAAGCCCATAAAAAGCTCTGGTACAACCAATTACCTTCAGAAGTCACATAATTAGTGAAATGATGTCCACCTGTGTGCAATCTAAGTGTCACATGATCTGTCATTACTTATACACACCTTTTTTTGAAAGGCCCCAGATGCTGAAACACCTAAGCAAGAGGCACCACTAACCTAACACTGCCATGAAGACCAAGGAACACTCCAAACAAGTAAGGGACAATGTTGTTGAGAAGTACAAGTCAGGGTTAGGTTACAAAAAAAATATCCAAATCTTTGATGATCATCAGGAGCACCATCAAATTATTATTTTATTATTATTATTATTGCCATTTATATAGCGCCAACAGATTCCGTAGCGCTTTACAATATTATGAGAGGGGGGTTTAACTATAAATAGAACAATTACAAATATACTTATGGGAACATTAGTTTGAAGAGGACCCTGCTCAATCGAGCTTACATTCTATAGGATCAAATCTATCATAACCAAATGGAAAGAACATGGCACAACAGCAAACCTGCCAAGAGACGGCCGCCCACCAAAACTCACGGACTGGGCAAGGAGGGCTTTAATTAGAGAGGCAGTATAGAGACCTTAGGTAACCCTGGAGCAGCTGCAGAGTTTCACAGCAGAGACTGGAGTATCTGTACATAGGACGACAATAAGCCATACGCTCCATAGAGTTGGGCTTTATGGTAGAGTTGCCAGAAGAAAGCCATTACTTTAAACAAAAAACAAAATGGCACGTTTTGAGTTTTCGAAAAGGCATGTGGGAGACTCCCAAAATGTATGGAGGAAGGTGCTCTGGTCCGATGAGACTAAAATTTAACTTTTTGGCCATCAAAGAAAACGCTATGTCTGGCGCAAACCCAACACATCACATCACCCAAAGAACACCATCCCCACAGTGAAACATGGTGGTGGCAGCATCATGCTGTGGGGATGTTTTCCAGCAGCCAGGACTGGGAAACTGGTCAAAGTTGAGGGAAAGATGGATGGTGCTAAATACAGGGATATTCTTGAGCAAAACCTGTACCACTCTGTGCGTGATTTAAGGCTAGGACGGAAGTTCATCTTCCAGCAGGACAATGGCCCCAAACACACTGCTAAAGCAACACTTGAGTGGTTTAAGGGGAAACATGTAAATGTGTTGGAATGGCCTAGTCAAAGCCCAGACATCAATCCAATAGAAAATATGTGGTCAGACTTAAAGATTGCTGTTCACAAGGGCAAGCCATCCAACTCGAAGGAGCTGGAGCAGTTTTGCAAGGAGGAATGGGCAAAAATTATCCAAAGTGACTTGGAGCTGTGATTGCCGCAAAAGGTGGCTCTACAAAGTATTAGTAGGGGGGGTGAATAGTCATGCACATTGACTTTTTCTGTTATTTTGTCCTATTTGTTGTTGCTTCACAATAAAAACAAAACAAAAAAAGAAAAACATCTTCAAAGTTGTGACTATGTTTTGTAAATTAAATGATGCAAATCCTCAAACAATCCATGTATGTATGTCAGTGAGTGGTGTGTGTGTGCCTGTCAGTTAGTGAGTGTATGTATGTCAGTAAGTGTCTCTGTGTGTCTGTCAGTGAGTGTGTTTCTGTCAGTGAGTGTCTGTGTCTGTCAGTGAGTGTATTTCAGTGAGTGTGTGTGTGTGTGTGTGTATACCTGTCAGTGAGTGTGTGTGTGTGTCTGTTAGTAAGTGTATGTGTGTGTGTTTGTGTCTGTCAGTGAGTGAGTGTATGTCTATCAGTGAGTGTATGTGTGTCTGCCTGTCTGTCTGTCAGTGAGTGAGTGTAAGTCTGTCAGTGAGTGAGTGTGTCTGTCAGTGAGTGAGTGTATGTCTATCAGTGAGTGTGTGTGTGTGTCAGTGAGTGTCTGTGTGTGAGTGTATGTCGGTGAGTGTATGTGTGTATATTTGCCAGTGAGTGTGTGTTTGTGTGTCTGTCAGTGAGTGAGTGTATGTGTGTTTGTCAGTGAGTGTATGTGTGTGTGTCAGTGAGTATGTGTCTGTCAGTGAGTGTGTGTGTCTGCCAGTGTGTGTCTGTCAGTGAGTGAGTGACATGAGGGGGCGGCAAAATGGATCTTTGCTTAGGGCGGCATAAATCCTTGCACCGGCCCTGCTTGCAATCCAAGGGATTCTAAGCAGTTTTTGCCAACACCACAGTTCAAAGGCATCAATTCTATGACGCTCAACCTTCTTTATAGTCCAGCTCTCACATCCATATGTTACTACTGGGAATACCATAGTTCTGACTATGCAGACCTTTGTTGATAGTGTAATATATTTCATTTTTACCAGCTTGTCCAAGCTTGCCATAGCTTTCCTCCCCAGAAGCAAACGTCTTTTAATTTCATGACTACAGCCACCATCTGAGGAGATCTTGGATCCCAGGAAAATAAAATCTGTCACTGCCTCCACTTCTTCCTCATCTATTTGCCAGGAACTAAGATTGCTGTTTGCCATGATCTTAGACTTTTTAACGTTAAGCAGCAAGCCAGCTTTTGCACTCTCTTCTTTTACCCTCATCAACAGGTCCTTTAGTTCTTCCTCACTTTCAGCCATCAGAGTAGTATCATCCATGTATCTGAGGTTGTTGATATTTCTTCCAGCAATATTGATTCCAGCTTTGGATTCATCCAGCCCAGCCTTACGCTATATGTATTCTGCATATAAGTTGAATAAATAAGGTGACAATATACAACCTTGTCACACTCCTTTCCCGATCTTGAATCATTCTGTTGTCCCATGTCCAGTTCTGACTGTGGCTTCTTGGTCCACATACAGATTCTTCAGGAGGCGGATGAGATTATCTGGTACTCCCATCTCTTTAAGAACTTTCCGCATGTTGTTGTGATCCACACAGTCAAAGGCTTTAGAATAGTCTATGAAGCAGAAGTAGATGTTTTTCTGGAATTCTCTGGCTTTCTCTATTATCCATCGTACATTGGCAATTTGATCTCTTGTGCCTCGTCTTCTGCGGAACCCAGCTTGTACATCTGGTAATTCCTAGTCCATATATTGTTTGAGTCGAGCTTGTAGGATCTCAAGCATTACCTTGCTGGCATGTGAAATTAGTGCAATTGTTCGATAATTGGAGCACTCTTTGGATATACTAGCCTGCTTCATTTTAAGTTATGCTCTTATGGAGTGACATAAGGTAAAATAATCCCTATCAAGAATATGTCTGATGGACGAAGAGCTGGATATACACAAAATCCAAGCAGAATTATAAATCAGAGTATATTATTATTATCATTATCTTTTTAAAATAAAATATAGACCATCAGTATACATTTTTTCAGATCAAGCAATTAAAATTAAATTAAAATAAAAGCATTCTGCTGGACAGTAATGTTCTGTTGAATAAGTAATGTATGCTATAAGCATACTCTCTATCTGTAATTGTGGATCTAGAAGATTACAATAATTCAAAAGACACAACACATTAAAGGTATAACAGTTTGTGCTTCAAATTGGTATTTGGCTTTCATTCTGGAATAATTTTCTTTACATTTTTCAAATAGCATGTTTCTTTTTGCTGAAAATACATTTGTCATTCTGTTTCTGAATTTTTAGTATTCATGAAGGTTTAAAAATATATACGGTACATTTTCTGGATCAGTGAATTAATACAACTTGATATTTTAAGGAACTGCAATGATTATTTTGCTTAGTACCTTTTATAAATCTAAATTCCTTTTGTTGGTATTAGAACTCACTACATGTTTTCTTATAGGTGGTATGGTTGTCAATTCCCACTGTATGGTATTTTACCTATATAAAAAATTATAGTTTTTTTTTTCAGATGTTTACACATTTGCTAATTGCTTTGAACTATATCTCCAGGTAAATTTAGAAGAAACACATTTTAATTCAAATAAATCTGAAGAAAATAAGGGAAAATGCAACTCTAAAAATTATTTATAATTTTAATAATCAGTCTTATTTGCTATGTTATCTCTGATGGCATTGTTCTGTGTGATTATTAATAGTAATAACGCTGTCAAAAGTAATAACTTTTGGGGTGGAAGGTCCTACGGAAACTTTTTATTTTATTTATACATTTGAATACCAAACCTATGGATTCGGAGCAAGGAATGTAACATTTGGAGTTGGTTACATTGTTGCCAATAACAAACCTTGATGAACCTCCGTCCAGTCTCCAAATGCTTCTCAGTCAGGTTCCTGACCAAACCACTGAGCTATACTTATTAAATAACTGCATCCTAGCATGCCACTTGCTATGGACAGCAATTGTCTTAATTTTGATTCAGGCCAATCCATCTTAGCAACATCATTTTTATTCCATCATCATGACACTGGTTTCTGGTGGAGTTAACTTAACCCTTTCTAATGGTCTGCATCATCAGTATTTCGCCCTTTTATCCATATTAATGCTCACCGTATATTGAGAATTATAATCCATGCTGCAAATACGATTATTATCACACAGGCAATGAAGATTTTGCAAGCCATACCACAGTAATAAATGCAAGGAAAGAACTCGGCATAATATCACTTGATGTTGAGCATCACTTCATTTGTAAATTGTACAGTAATCTATTCACTGATTTAAGCCAGAATTTTCACAATAACAAGGGGTTAACGCTTCTATACATCCAGGTACACCTCTTCTCCATTTATACATATCGTTGAAGGGAAATGTATGTTGAGGAGTAGTATGCTGAGACAAGTTCACCAAGAGACAAACTTCCAGGTGGTGCTAACAAATGAGGAGGGAGTGATGGTAGTAGATGTACTATTGCAGAAAACAAACAGGTGCTAACAGTGAACCGTGTTTTATTACACCAATATCCTACAGCCATTTCCTGCATTGCTCCATCAGTATGTATAACAGCCAATAATTCACCATAGTTAACATAGCAAGAAAAACACATTGGGGAATACAAAAATATATTCCCATTTACTGAAGACCTGCCTGTTATTATGGACTTCACTATCTTGGGAAAATCCAGGTGATTGCTGTTTCTCTTCAAAAGTTTCTTCATAAAGTTAGTCATCACATGTGTTATGGTGCAAAAGCTGCACTGAGTTAGACTGTTCACAATCAGTGATGTGGACATCATTGGTGCTATGTTCAATGACCGAAGAGGCTCGTGGTATTTGCTCCATTCATTGGGCATTGACTTCTGTCTATAATGCAGAGATCCTGCATGTCTTTATTGACTTAAGAAAGTCATTACAGTTTTAGTTTTGATGCAAATTCTCCATTGGTGCATTGATTAATTAGTGGACACCAATAGGGTTGTTTACTAGACTTTGTGATTATAGAAGGTCCAAACTGCAATTTGTCCAAATTTGGGCTGATCAGGTGATTGGTTGAATTCCCAAACTCCAAGCTGAAATATGGCAGACTCACAAACCAACTAGTTAGAAAAATGGCTGGCAATGTTCATTTTGAGTCATGATTCTTAATTTGACCCATGGAAAAAAGATGATTAATGGCTAGGGGACAATCTATAAATGCTGATTTATTCACATATTAGTTGAGAAATAAGCAATAGAAGGAAAAAAGGAAGGAGCAAAAAAAAAATAAATAATAATAATTACATATATATTTATCTATATATATATATAGAGAGAGAGAGAGAGAGAGAAAGAGAGAACGATTATATATTTAATAAATATAGATTTTTTTAAAACTTCTCCTGTTTTTCCCTCTATTGATTACTTTTTCTCACTTGATATTTGAGACAAATGGTGGGAAAATGCTCTTATCAGTGTACTAAATACATGATAATATTTATACACTGATCAGCCACAATATTAAAGCCACCTGCCTAATATCATGTAGGTCCCCCTTGTGCTGTTAAAATAGCTCTGATGCATCGAGGCATGGCCTCCACAAGACCTCCAAATGTGTCCTGTAGTATCTTTCATAAAGACATTAGCAGCAGATCCTTTAAGTCTGGCAAGTTGCAAGGTGGAGCCTCCATGGATCAGATTTGATGTTCCAGCGCATCATTATTTGGCCCTTGTCAAAGTCACTCAGATCTTTTTGCTTGCCCATTTTTTTCTGCTTCAAAAAACTGTTCACTTGTTGCCTAATATATCCCACCCCTTGACAGGTTTAATTGTAACAATATAATTAGTGTCATTCACTTCACCTGTGAAGTTGATCAGTGTATTATGTAATGAAGATTAAAAGCAAGACAAAAATGTTTTATAATGTGACGCAATGAAAATAATCAATCTTTGTCCGCGAGGGTTTGGCTACTTTCCTAGCTATCTGAGTAAAAAGGGTGGATGGCAATGCCACTAATTGGGAGGGTGGACAATGATGGGGGGGGGGGGGGGGGCTAAGGGGGCCTTGGTCCTCCCCCTGGAATAATATAATGAGGATCACTGTCAATGGTGGGGAAAATGATATAGAATTTTAGAAACCATTTTGTGTTTCTTGCTCCCATTTTATATAATATGTATTTGATTCATCTTGTGACAGCTTTGTCTTGCCAAGGTTTTTTATGAGTTAATATGAGGCTTGTTGTGGAACAGGTGTTCTAAGATGTTTTAAGAGAGCAAGTATTTTATAGTCAGTGATTTCAAACAATGTACTGGAGAGGTTAACAAGGTACAGGGTGTAAGACCATTGTTCATGACCTGAACCTTTGCATTTAAGGTGTGATTTGGCAAAAGCAAGTTTAACTCATGACACTGAAGTCATACCTAGGTGCTTGTCCAAGATGTGATCAAGGCAATCTTGTGACACTTATGTAATATTGATTATGTGATATTGTTTACAAGAGAAAGCCATTCTGTTAGGTAGAATTTCTGTAAGGCAGAATATTTAAAAACTACTTGAATATTCCATGTAATCCATTGCTAACTGTACTAACATATTCTCATTTATTGACTGTAACGGACTACCTGATTAAAATGAAGTAATAAACACAACACTGAGGATAAAACTTGTTTGGTCTGACTCTCTGCATATTTCCGTAACCATATTATTTACATTAAAGTCCACCACCTGATGCCCACTGGAAGGGGCCTTCCTAATGTCTGCGGAGCAATGGGTACCCAGTAAACAGTTAGCAGATTTGGCCCATGAGACAGGTGGGGGTATAGCGATGTTTTCAACCTCCCTTTTAGTGATATGGGGGTCTTATTGACCCCCATAGGATCTTAATTTATTTATTTTAAGTATTTTTTTATTACAAATGTTTTTTATTGAGGCTTTACATTGGTTAAATGCAAGCAGGGCTGGACTGGCCCACCGGGATTCCGGGAAATTTTCCGGTGGGCCCTCAGCACCTGGGGCCAGGCAGACATCTGGGTGTGCTGGCGGCCGCAGGAGGAACTAGGATCATGGCCGCTGGAGGAGCTGGGATGGCGGCCGCAGGAGAAAATGGGATGGCGGCCACAGGGGGAGCTGTGCTGTCTTTGCTCCCCCGCCCTCGCGCTACTTAATGAGACCGGGGCCGGAATATGACGTCATATTCTGCCCCCGTTCGCATTAAGCTGCGCGCTGGGGAGCAGAGAAAGCACAGTTCCCCCTGGGGCCGCCATCCCAGCTCCTCCTGCGGCCGCCATCCCAGCTCCTCCTGCGGCCGTAATCCCAGCTCTTCCAGCGGCCACCATCCCAGCTTCTCCTGACCTGCGGCCACCATCACAGCTCCCCCTGCGGCTGCCAGAACACCCAACTGTCTGCCCTGCACGACCCCCTGGCCAGTCGCCTACAGGTAATATGTGTAATTCTGTCAGTGTATGTGTTTATGTCTGTCTGCCATGGTGTGTGTCTGTAAAGTAATAGAGGTCCAGGCACTCCTTGGTTCAAGACAGGCACTTTATTAGGAACCGCAACGTTTCAACCCCAAAAGGTCTTTGTCAAGCCAAAGCTTGACATAGACCTTTTGGGGTCGAAATGTTGCTGTTCTGGTTCCTAATAAAGTGCCTGTCTTGAACCAAGGAGTGCCTGGACCTCTATTACTTTACAAATGTTTGGAAATCTGGTGTTTGATTCCGGCTCAGCAAGCACCCTGGCT